TAAGGCAAGCTCCAATACAACCAGCTGTACGTGCTCAGCCAGCACGAAAGATTCTGAACAGGAAAAACTTCCACATTTAAAAGACATCTAAATGGAAACAGGGGAGAGACAAAGAAACAAAAACCAAAAAGAAAATGAGAAAAATTGAAGAAATCATGAGCTTGTCTCTCAACCAAAGTAGGCACACCTTTTCTGATGTGGTTTAGCACTAAGAGGAGAGGCGAGTGTTCCCCCTGATAGGAATGTTTGCTGGCCACATAAAAGACTGGAGGGTCCTGATGCAAGACCACTGTTGATTAATGCTTTTGCCTGAAGAAGCATATTTGCTTCTGTTGAATAGCCCCAGTGAATTATGTTTCCAGAATGCCAAGGTACAGCAAAAAACCCAGATCATCTCCATGCCTACTAAAATTTAAGTAACCCCTATTGAATACTTTAATACTAGTCTTTTCTGTCTGCCTAAATCAATAAGAAGGATTATCTGCTACTAATAAGAGTCCATGAAGAGACATGTTTTTCCCCAAAATACAAGGAACTGGAAGAAAGAACCAGAAGAAAAACAGTAGGAAAAACATTGTGATTGTGCTTATCAAAATGCTCAGACAGTTATGATAGTTCATGCTCAGGACTTTCAGATACTGTGTTTCATGTCAAGAGGGATCCACTCAAAATCATTTCACAAAAAACTTGTTTGAAAATTGGAGATGGCTGACATGGATGGCATGTATTTAGGTTTTTTTGTATTTTTTATTTTTCTACTCAGACATCATTTTCTTAGCTTCAAAATTAATCATAAGCAGTGAGCAAACCCAGTATTTTTCCAAAGTAAAAAAAAAACAACAACTGAGAAAGCTCAGCAAGGAACTGATTTAAATTATTCTTGCCAAAAAAGTAAAAGAAAGACATGCTTCTATTGTAACTGGATACTGAATCTAAAATCACAATAACAATTCTCTTCTGAGAGGGGACGGAACTTAGGCCAATACATATAGGGGCAAAAAAATCTTTTAGAATGGTTTAAAGAAAATGTCACCTACATTTTTGGAAGAAGAGTTGACAATATTTTCATGATTTATTAACTTTCACATGGCCATGGCTGCTCTTTCAAAGAGAGGTTGCATAATCAAAACACCCACAACACTTTTTGGCTCCAGAGGTTTCCAAAACTTACTGACTTAGTTTTGAAGTAGTTTTTGCCTTTCCTTCTCTCAGGTCAAAGATACAAGTGGGCAGGACAAGTTTCTTTGTGGGGTATTGTGTCTGGAATGCCTCTCTTTCTGGGGAGAAGGTTAATGAGTGAGAAAAAAGAGAGACTGAGCTAATTTATAGTGATAACAGAAAAAGGAACATAATTTCAAAATCCAAACCTTATCTAAACTGCTTAGGGACTTTAAGTTCTTTTGTATTTTATCAGTATTATCAGCTGTACTTTTGCACTCTAAAGTTATTTTTAAGCCAAAGTGGAAGATAAAATTGTAAGATAAATACTAAAATGAAAAGAACAGAGACCTAGAAATCTCTTAAGAAAGACAATTGTGAAGACCTTTTCTTATAGTACTGACAAGTAAACTGTTCTCAATTATTTTGCCAAAATATTCAGAGGCTTTAACTCATGTAAACAGAGCCTTCCCCAGTTTAAACTGAAAAGTACACAGGCATACTCAGGCATATTTCATCCTTCTTTCCACATTCATTGCTAATTTTGTAGCTCCAACACAGTGAGTGGGGGCCCAATGTGTCTATTAGTGGTGAAACCGCAATTCCAAATGCCAGTAAAGACACTGAAGCCAAGCAAAATTTGTCACTGTAGAAATTTTGACTGGGTTCTTATGAAACCCAAGCATATTATACACAACTCCTTTGACCTCTCCAGAGTTTCTTCAGTTTCACCCTTGCTGGAGCAAAGTAAAATTTTTCTTTTTTTTTTCTCCAGTTATTTATGCTTCATTGTCTACTTTGATAAAACCTTACTTCCCAAAGAATTTTCCTTTGCATTTCTTTCCATTCTTCGGTTGCACAGAATATAACATTTTCTGAAGAGTTTACATCCTTGTGCTGGATCTAGTAGAACAGTCTCAACATATCTGCATAGGCAGAGAAAACTCATTTCTAAAAGGAAGCCTTCCTTCCTTCCTTCCTTCCTTCCTTCCTTCCTTCCTTCCTTCCTTCCTTCCTTCCTTCCTTCCTTCCTTCCTTCCTTCCGCACTTCCGCACTTCCTTCCTTCCGCACTTCCGCACTTCCTTCCGCACTTCCTTCCGCACTTCCGC